CCTGCAAGACCTCACCTCTGTGTTTGTCGAGGCCTCGTCTGTCAGAGACTTGTGAGGACTTAGCCCCTGCATCTTTATGGGTAAGACTGGAACAACAGGAAGACATTGTCATTTTTGCTTCATGTTTGAGAGAAGAAGCCATCTTCAAGAAGCTGTCACCCAACCTTCCCGATCCCCTTAGCCGCACTGGTCCTCTCATGTACCACTGCATCCTCCCACATCTGCTGCAACTTCCACACCCTCCTCCATGAACCATGGCAGGGACATCCTCACCACCATACAGTGAGTTGAGGTCCTACGCTCACCACTGTGCAGCTCCACGAGCCCTGCTGCACCAGTTTGTCAGTGAGGAGCAGGGAATGACCTTACCTGAAAATTCAGGATTGACAGCTTCATCATCAACTCGCACTGCAACAGCAACACAAAGTAGAGGAGCGCTCAGGAGCCAGGTCATGTCCAGAGGAGTATCCATCCTCTGCCCATCCTCTCCCTCTTCTTCACGCCATTGCTATGAAACCTCTCCCTGCCAGTTTGTGCCCACTCACACCAAGCTGCTGGGCACCAGGAATCCCACCCAGCTGCCCATTCCAGGAGGGCAGTACACTGCAGGGCTGAGAACATGCTCCCAACCTCCGCCTCTCCCTCCCTCCCCGCTGCCATGCAGGGAGCAGATTTCTTGCTCAGCTTCCAGGAACAAAGTCCCTCCTCTCCCTCCTACCTTCTTCCTCTATAGGTGCCTCCCTGAGCCCTTGCCTTCTTCCCACCTTCCAGTGCAAGTCTGCTCTGGCAGCTCCCTGGTGCACATACAGCCGCAGCTGCCTTGCCCCTTCCCTCTTGCCTGTGGTCCAGGGTCCCTCCTTGGGACACAGCCCAAGCTGCGCCCACTCCCTCTTTCTCACCTCCAGACGGATCCTCACCAACCTCCCCTGGGCCACCCTGCACTTCTATGTAAGTGTATGGTACAAAAAGCAGCTGGGTGTGATTTCATAGTGTCAGGGGGTCAGGTTGTCCTCCATCTGTCTGCTATCATAGAGCAGCACCCCCATTGAGTCTCCATCCCTGGAGGTATTTAAAGAACAAATAGATACGGTGCTTGAAGACATGGTATAGATGGACTTGGCAGTGATAGGTTAACGGTTGGACTCGATGATCTTAAGGGTCTTTTCCAAACTTGACGATTCTATGATTCACTTGCAGTAGTATTTAAAAAGGAAAGTAAGGTTGTGCTTTATTTTCTCCCCTGGGATTCCTCGAGTATGAATAACTTGCCTTAAATATTCTTGATTGGTAGCAATTTTTTCTCCCTTAAAAAGCTAATATAAATTAACGTTAATAGCTGCACCATCCTTATTTACAGATTTGCACTCAGATTTAACTGAAAATCTCAAAACATGCTAAATAAAAATCTTATGTTTGTGCTTAACATAAAAAGACTGGGTGAGGCTCTCGGTGAAGAGTCCGGCACTCTGGAGCACGCTTGCCTCAAATTCAGGTTTGCGTTCTTTGGGATGTTGTGTCACCCGTCCTTTAGCTCCTGTCTGTAAATATAAATTGAAGTGGGGTTTGGTTTTCTTTCGTGGGTTTACAAAAATGACTGACTTCTGTTAATTTTGGATTATTCTTTAAACTTAAGAGGTCCCCAGGACATCTTGCAACAGGCATAAATAAAATAGAGAAGTGAGGAGTGCATGGGGTTGGTTTGTTTGTTAACATGAAAATTGCCTATTACCTACTGAGTAAGGCCATACTTTGTTTTGAAAATAAATACGCAGCACTGCTGAAGTCTGCTTGTGGCCGAACGCAGGACTTGCTTATCTAGTGTCATAACTACCAGAAAATTTTAATTAGAAATTTCACAATCCCCAAGATCTTGCTTTCTTGATTGTCTGAATCTGTCCTTTTGGTTTAGATCGCACACAAATCGTATACAAAGTATGTTCCCAGTTCATATTTGTTTTGTAGACTGATTATTAACAAAAATCAATAAATCTCACGCTATCTTTGTAACTTCAGGTTAGAAGTCAGCTTGAAATCACAGCAGCTCCTGGTTTGCTTGTTTTCTTGTTGCTGCTTTTATAAAAGCAACAATCCTTGCTTACTGTGACTCAGTGGGTTGTCTCATTAAGTTCAGAACGAGTAGAAAAAGAGTTAAGTTGCTAAGAAGAAGTTAATGAGATGGTATTTTTAGAGGGACTATTTTATTGCCTGCCTGGCTGCCTTCAGTTTTTATTTGTGTCTGCAGCTTCCTTATCCTGGCTTTGAGTTGTGCTGTTCCGCCAAGGGGAAGGGCATGGGTGGGAGACGTGGATGTTGTCTTCTGTCTGTTTATTAATTTAAGATGTCCCTGAGCTCGGGCCAAGATCCATCCCGGTTGGCTTCGGGCGCAGAACGAGGGGCCTCTGCTCTGGCTTGCGCCCGGCCCCGTGCCCCCGCGCTGGCGGCTGCCTCACACCAAGAGCAATAACTTCCGTAGGAAATACTGAGAAAGTTCATCGCTAGAAAAAATAATTGTTCCTAAGGAGTGAAAATTTCACCTTCTTGACCAATAATGTCTGAATTCCAGAACTGTCAAGGAGTGATCAACAAAAGGGAGGTGACAGATAGCAAGGGGCGAACGTGGTGCTTTTTTCCCTCGGCTTTCAAAAAACTTTTATAGACTCGTAGACTTAATAGGCTTACAGAACTGGATGACTTTTATAGACTTGTAGACAAGAAAAAAAAATTTTTTTTGACTACTTACAAATCTGTACAGCCGCCTATGGGCAAATCTCCATGCAACAAGCAGTCAATATAAATTAGTAAGCTTAAAGTTGTATCCAGCTATTTGAAAATAACACACTTGATGGGGAAAATAGAGCAGAACAGAAATGTCATGCCTGTATATTTGCCTCCGGGCAGCTGGTGGCATAACTGTTACTAAAGGGAGGATGTTGAGGCATCTCTCTGGTTTTCAGTTCAACGCGTCCTGCTGCCTGCCACAGATACTGTACATTGCTGCTCTTTCTGGGAGAGAAAAGTCTGATTTGGGTTTTTATTCCCCACTCTGATGCAAAAATTATCCAGAAGTCTTGCTGTCGAAGAGAAAACTCCACAAATGTTTCTCTTGTAGCTGTACATTTAATGTGTGAAAATTGGTTATCTCCCTCCATAATCATGTCTGGGGTGGGCTATATTTCTGAAAAGGCAGAACTTCGTGCTTACCATATTTTTGCTGCTTCAGCTTTCATAACTTCTGTGGCAGTCTTGAAACGCTTCTCCCAGTTTGTCCTTGACAGGAGCTCTAATGTGCTCAAGCATCCTGCAAAAGTAGCGTCGTCTCCCTCAGCGAATACGTTAGAAGTAAATCCACGTAACTTGAAGCTCGGATTGCAGGAGCTGGCTATCAGCAGTTCACGTAAAGTTCCTGATATCCAGCCAAGGAATGTGTACTTCCGAAAGCACATATTCCAATACGTATCAAGTCTGTTGATTTAATTGCTTGATAATCTTGTATGCGTATGAACGTTGTGAAGTCGTGTACAACATGTACCACCTTAGTGAAAATCTGAGAAGAGGGGACTCGGAAACAAAAAGGAGAGGTCTGTCAGTTGGCGCTTGTGGAGGAACATCCTCGTGTTTGTACTTTTCCTTAAATTGTGGAAAAACCTCCCCGCTTGAATGCACTGAGGAAAGCAAAAGTATGGGGATATTATTATAAAAATACATTACTCTTATTTTTAATTATTTTTTGTATTTTGTTTTTCAGCCAGAAAATTTGCAGAAGAATTGGCTTCGGGAATTTTATCAGGTAAGGTAAAACTTATTTTCTCATGGAGTTCTAAGCACATTTGCTTGTTGGCCTAACTAATGATGCAAAGATCTCTTGCTTTTGAAGTCACTAACTATTTTATAGTTAAAACCAGTCTAAAGAGTATGTCTCTCTCTGGATTTCTAAGTAATGATTATAAAAGTTCAGTGTATAAACATAATTTGTCCTCATAGACAATGTTTGACATTTTATGAAAATGACTTTAGTTTGGCATGTAATGGTTTTTTTAAGTCTCCTGGGTAAGAAATATATTTGAGTAATTAAAAAAACCACAAACAAACCTGTTGGTAAGTCCAGTTTACATTTATATTGAAATGTAACAGTTTCTGGTGTTGGCTTGCAATAGATCAGTCCTGCTGTCTGCTCTTTCTTGAAAATGTTCTTGTTTAGGCAATGTGAAAATACTGAAAGTGAACCTATACTATAAAATGTTTTGTAAACTTTGGGTGTGGGTTGTGTTTGGTTTGGGTTTTTCTAAGCATAAAAGCTACTACAACATTGTGGTGTTGCAGTAGAGACTTGTTTAACTTGCGGAGTTCCTGCAGAGCCATGTAAATAAGCAGGAGGAGCTGAGCAGTGGTGGAACAGAGAGGGGTCGTCCCTGCTGAGTGCTGACTGCATTTGGCTCTGACAGCTTCTGTCGCGTCTGCCGGAACTGATCGACTCCGAGATTCCTTTATTCATTTTTACATCTCCTATACAAAAATGGTTAAAGCAACAAGATTATGCTGCTTAAGTTGTAAAGTGAAACTGTATACAAAAAAAATTATTAACAATATTTTTGCTTTTTTGTAACTGAAAACGCCCTGTAATTATTTATCTGGTCAGGTTACTGGTGCAGCCTATGACCTTTATTGCAGTGCTGTAAAATACTGCCGGTAGCTTTTTCTGGGAAGTTTAATGGATTTGCAAAAATCCGAGATGCAGTAACCAGCCTTCTATTCCTCACTATCTGTTGACTTTACGAAAGATTCATCTGTTTATTTTTCTTCTTCCATCCTGATTGATTATTGCTATATGTCCGTGATGCTCGCACTGTGCAGGCTTTCTCAGCAAATTCTGATTTAAACCATCTCCACATCTTCAGGGTAAGACTCTTCCTATGAAGAAAATACAAAGAACATTTAAATAGACAGAAACTTTTTTAAGATCACTACATGTTTTTCAGCATCACATTGCTTATTTATGCATCTTTATCCAGGAGACTCCGTACATGTTCACTTGTTTACTAAATCAGGGTGAGCACTACAGAAACGCCTCCGGATAGTTTGTGGAAAAGAGGAAGAGGAGGGGAAAAGAATGAGCTGCTGGTGTCCTCGAGCAGAGACCACTAGCACGTAACTGGACGTGGTCTGTCTTTGGTCCAGTCAGTACTGGGTACACGAAGTTCAACACAGGAAGGAAAGGATTCATTAACACTCCCATGTGGCCAGTCAAATGCAGGGTCCGGACCAGCGAAAGTGTAGCTGAAGTAGACCTGAACCCATCCCTCAGCTGCAGTAGTTTTGCTACGTCCACCTTCCTTCTCTGTGCCTCTGCCCTCCGTATCTGCAGTCTGAGAAAGCTGTGTTTCAAAGAAAAAGGAAAAAAAAGACGGGGGTGGGGGTGGGTAAAAACAGGTTTCCAGTTCTGCTCACTGCTGGTAACAGACAGGCAGTCCTCGGCGTGTTTTGAGGAACAGCGCTGTTCAGCAGCCTTGAGCCCTCCTTCCTCTCCTCAGCTGCGCAGCAGGATGGCTGTTCACGCCGTGTTCACAAACGCAGTAGGAAGTGGAATAAAACTGTAGAAAAAGCTCCTTGGGGAAGGGAAGAGACTAATACGCTAGTACCAACAGTAGCCCAGCACAGTCCTCATATTAGGCTAAGTAGCAACCTAGCAAATGCACAAATTTAGAATTTTTTTAATTTGAATTCTGCATGCTTTGTTGAAAACCTCTGCAAATTGAAGTTCATCAGAAGTACTTAATACTTCTTCGTGAGCTCGAAACCCAGATAAACCGCAGACCACATTTTTTTTCCATTCTTCTGAGGAATTAAATTTGCATATGTAGTTGTGTCGATGCAGTTTGCATAACTTCTGAGGATTAAGTTCTTTTGTAAGCAAAGTAATCTCCACAAAAAAGGAAGCACAATTACCGCTCCAAGTTTAAAATGTTTCTAGAAATTAAACCCATAATGGAAACACGTCTTTGAATTGGTGTCGAAGAACATATCAATGAAGGAGCGTTTTCGGGGCTTGCTTTTAAGTTTCAGTAAATTAAAATATGGGATTTTAATTGGTGTGACAGGTAAATACAAGTCATTTCACTTATGTATCATCATTGATTATATGCTGTATGCATTTCTGAGAATGTGGTAGCATATGGAGAACTAAAATAACATTCAAATGTCACATGCTAAAATTTTTAAACTTCTGTCATTGATCTACAAATATCCTACATTATTAACATGAAAAATATGGAAGATCTATTGCTGTTTAATTAAACAGTTTGTCCAAGAAATAGAAACAGGAAAAAATATTTTTAAATAAACTTTCAGGGATGTTTTTAATGACAGCTGGCAATGCAGCAGCCCGTAAAGTAGCATGCTGCTTGACCGCTACTGCTGACAACACAGTTGATAGGGCTGAGGGATGTCGTTTTGTCTGATCTCTTCTCCTGGGATTCATCAGTCTTGTGAGAGTGGAGCCTGCGTTTTGGGTGACATCGGACTTGGTAGTTTAAAATTGATTTAACTATCAAATCCCGGGTAACTTTCCAACAGTCACTATTAGTTGCTGCTTTTCCCCCGAGGAAAACTTAAACAAGATGAAGGAGGAGTTCAGCTGCACTCAATTCCAGATATTTATAGGTATTGCCTCTTGGTGTGCTCCCCAGAGGAGGTGGTGGCGGAGCCTTTCCCATGCGTGTCATGGAGCACTGGAATAGGCGGTGCCCTGGCTGCGCCCCTGACACAGGCTCCTAGGAGCAAAGCGCGGCCTGGACCTCAAACTGGCTGGTTTCCCATCGCTACGTTTATAGCGAAGCTTTTCCTCTTTGCTGCTCTGCTTTTTCCGTTTGATGCGATGGGTGAATACATGGCATTTATTTTGGGGCTTCATAACACTTTTCCTTACGATGTAAGCCCTGGGTATTGTATTCTCATTACGTGTAGATAGGCTAAAAGCTAGCCAGCTTTTGCAAGAAAGAAGTAGTAGAAAAAGCAAGTCAGCATCTCTGGCAGTGCTCTAGTAGTGAGATGCTTTAGGAACAAGAAAAGGCTTCTGAAAGATCCATCCGCCTGTCCGCAAATGCTTAACAATCTGATCAAAGTACATCATTAATTAAAACACAGTATCATAAAAAAATTCATCAAACGATTGAGGAACGCCATGTTCCTTCTCTTCTGTGGATTGCAGTGTTAACTTTAAAGTTAGTGCATTTTAAATTAACCTATAAAGCAGAAAGAAACAAAGGTCAGCTTTCCTCCCGTGTTCCTGCTTTTCCCCCCGTGCTCCACCCCCTCCCAAAGGCAGTGCGTGAAGAATAAGTGTGCTGGTGTGATGGCAGCTTAAACGGGAGCTGTGACCTCCCCGAGCCTTCTGCCTCTGCTTTGGTGTAGGTCAGGGTGGTGACTGTGTGAAGGTGTGGGTCTTTCTGAGCATCTGTTGTCAAGCAGTGATACTCCTCAGAGTATCTGAATTTGTGATTTGTGTGTTCCGGCTTTGGAATTTCTCAAATTTGTGTTTTCAGCTTTCCTCTGTGAAGCCAGAAAAGTACCTGTTCTATAGAAAAGGGGAGAATTTTGTTTGTTTAACTCATCTCCAAAAGCTAAGCTTCAGGAACTTGCTGTCTTGAAATACGGCAATTTGAGAATCGGCCCAGTGGATTTATTTTTTCCTTCCATAGTTGTAATCAGATTTTGCATCTTATTGCCTATTGACTTAGCATCACTGAACTAATTTTTTAATTTGTAAACATGAATAAGGTGGCCAGGAGTATCTCTCCTTGATCTGTAGTGTTTCGGAAGTCAGCTCCCTCCAGACAGCTGCTGGTCAGGGGGGTTTCCATCCTGTGCCTGTTCCCACCCCTCCTCTGCGGGATCACGGCTCTGCCTGTACCTGTACCACCCCTGCTCCTGCTGTCCCCTTCTGAAGCCGCCCGCCCCGGGTGCGGGCCTGGGGAGGTGCGGGCAGGCGGATGGGGCTGTCCTGCTGTGGCACGGCCCGGGGGCAGCGGGACCGCGGGAACCTGAACCCGGAGCTGACAGCTCCTTCGTGGCTTAATTTAGGACTGTGAAGCTTTGAAAGTTGAAGGACCACCTGTGTGCTGGGGAACCCCACCCTTTTTGGTGGGGAATGGGAAAGTGTGTGTAACGTGACTGACAAAGGCCACTTGGTGATTTTCTGCAGCTCTGTCTTACTTCTGGAGTAGAGAAGGTACAAACTGTGCTTTGCTTTTTACCTTGAGAAGAGAAGGGGGAGCGCTCAATGAGCTGGCTGCCACATGAAGTCCCTTTTTCACTTGTTAAGCTTGGAGTTGGAATGGACAACGAGCAGTTACGCTTACTCGCTATCTAAACCATGCTTTGATTTGGGGGTGGGGGCTAGGTTAGAACTTCCAATACAGATTAAATTATGCCTTCGTTTCTTCATTTGTTGTTGCAGTCTGCCTCTCTTTGTACAAGGAAGCCATCGAGATTATGGAAATTATTAAATACCCATCAGTAGCTGTAGACATTGCAGAAATCTACTTTCTCCTGCGTGCAGTCCTGCTGCCATGGATGGATATATATCCATTTGTAATATGGATCTTTATGTCCATTTGTAATATGGATCTTTATACATAAAGCGGAGTACAATGCATATAAGCCTGCGCCCAGCGAAGCAGCACAGAGGTGCCGGGTGTCCCGTGGCATGGTTAAAACACTGAAGCGGGACGGTCTCGGCTGGGTGAGGTACGTGCCGGCACCGCTGCTGCGGGGGGGTGCGGCGGCAGCCCT